CTCATTTGCATTTAAAGAGACAGGCCCTCCAAAGCGAGCGCTCTGAATGGGGCTGTTTTGGGTTAGGGTTAGGGTTAGGGTTAGGGTTAGGCAGGGGGACTGAACTGCTATTGGGCTTCATCCTTATGGGATTTTGACCAAAGCTTGTCACAGACATTACATTAGGACACCAGGGAACTAGCTTAACTTGTTGAAATAGGGTATAATATGACTCTACCCTCCCCTCAGGTCTGCCTGGTGGATCCCGGCTGCTTCCGGGAGATCGACGAGCTGATTCGCTGTGAGACCAAAGGCCGGGGCTCTCTGGAGGTTCTCAGCCTGAAGGACGTGGAGGAGGGGGACGAGAAGCTATAGTGACCCGGTCAGCCCGGCCGGACGGGCCTATTCTCCACCGTAACGCACTTCCCCCGAACACGGGCGGCTTTGGCCTACCGTCCACCTCGCTATCGGCCACATTAAAGGCAGCTTTTGCATCTGATTTGCATGCTGACAGGAGACATTTATACCCTAACAGCTTGTTCTGACCCGGATTCCTTCTGCTGCCTCTTTTCAGGCTCGGCGTCCCGGTCCTGTTTAATCCAGAGATGTATATTAATTTATAAATGACTCTGATTTATGATCAAGTTTTTGTTCTCGCTGCTCCGACGCAGACAGACCGGGAAGCTGTCGGTCCACAGAAGCTTTAAGGAAAGCGCAAAAAAAGTGAAAAATCCGCTCAGATATTCGTCACACGCTGAGACAGCATTCAGAAAAACTGCGTTTTTATTTGCATATTTAAGAGATTGAGCAGAAAAACTGGAAAAGATTGTCAGAAATCTACACGCTTTTCCTCTTTAGAAATCACAAATAAGTCATCATGAGAGTTTAAAAACCCCAAAAAGTGCAAAGGACGACAATCTCCTGTCAGCTTTGGCCTTTGGTTTTAAAAAGAAACGCTGGTGAATAAAGCTATAAATAACGTCTGGCTGTATTCTCTGTTTTCTGCACCCTGATTCCAGACCACCTTATTAAAGAGGGTCATGTGTTGGAGTCTGGCTTCGGAAAGGTGGTAAAAAAACTGAAAACAGTCCAGAACGGCTCCAATTTACCCAGATTTCTGCTATTTCCCCCCTTTAAAAAAAAACATTAACATACTAATTAACTTAAGCAAAGCAGGATTTTTATGAACTTATTCAGTTATAAAATGTGGAAATGGTCAGTGGGATTCAGTGCTGGACTCTGAGAGGAGCCGCTTTAGCTAAAGTCACATGAGTTTAAAACAACGTTCAAGCTTTAGAGCAGCAAGAAACCTGGCTGCGTTTATCAAGTGCTCACCATTTTTTACATCGGTTTCGATGTTTGAGTCACAGGAACAGAGTGAAAAAACTGAGATTTATCCCTCCATCATAGAGCCAATGGTCAGTCTGGGCTGAGACAGCTATCAATCCACAAATCGGTGGACTTTAGTGTTTATAAAGTCCAAAGATGGCTGAAAGTGGACATCAGTGGTGGAGAACGGGCTCTCCAGAAGAACCCCGGATCATCACTGAGCCCATCTTCATGTAAAGTTATTTAAAAGAGCATCGAGTACCAAACTAAGCTATAAATAAGCTTGTTAGAAATGAAACAAAAACAAGAAAAACAGCAGAAACTAAGCAGTCCCACCCAAACCCAGCCGTTAAATATTAGTCAGAACTACAACATGCCTTGTACAGGTGGACCCAGGTGAGTTCAGGTGGACCCAGGTGGGCTCAGGTGGACCCAGGTGGGCTCAGGTGGACCCAGGTGGGCTCAGGTGGGCTCAGGTGGACCCAGGTGGGTTCAGGTGGACCCAGGTGGACTCAGGTGGGTTCAGGTGGGTTCAGGTGGACCCAGGTGGGCTCAGGTGGGCTCGGACCTGCGCTCGTACTGGCTCTGGGTGAAGGCGGTCCGGTTGATCCGGCTCAGCGGGTGGCTGGCCCCCTCCTCCTCCTCCTCCTGTCCGTCCTCCCCCGGCTGACCCCCCCGGGCCTGGGCGTCCGGGCACCGGGTGGTGAAGAACAGCCCTCCGACCAGCATCAGGGCG